CAGCATCTCGGGAAGTAGCAAACATTTTAATAACGATATTGTTTTGGAGATTATAATTCAATTCACCAAAGCCAGTTTCATCTGCTCCTTCCTGAAAGTACAAAGCAACGTCAGAAGGCAAGTGGAAGTGTTTATATTTACAGGTAAAAAGGGTCAAGCACCATTACAGTCAGCATTACGCATTTTCTGAACATCCCTGAACTGCAGTTTTGAAACTTTAGTAAAGATTTGCTCTTATGCCTCTTGCTTTGGAGCAAGTCTCACTGAATGCTATAAGATTCTCATCTTACAAGACACAGTTTTCAAGATTTTGGCAAAACACTTGGAAACATATTCGTTCTTGCTTGGAAATTAAACGTGTGTTTAATCTTGCCTATGCCTCTATTTTTCTTTTTTTTTTAAATCAAGTGCATGTTTTCTTTAAATTAGATTTTTCCCTAGCACATAAAAAGCTGTCAATCCAAATCAGTTTTGAGTCACATATGCTACTTGTGTGATTTAATAACACAACTATGGGATACAAATTTTTCTGAAACAAAATATTTAAATATCATCCCTAAAAAAGGAAACCTGAAGAAGTAAAAAATCCATACTGATTCAGAGCTTATCTATCTATCTACCAACCAAGCAACATGCCAACCAAACAGCCCATGTCTCATTGCTGGGTGAAGGGGAGAAGGAAAGTACATGGCTACCAAACTGGTAAAAAAAAAGTCACAAAATGATGGGTGGGAGTTATCCAATTGGTCACATTTGCATTACAGTAATCCATCTGGTATCCTGACCTGCATAGCCCAGGCTAGTCAGATCTTGTCAGATCTCAGAAGCTAAGCAGGATCGGCCCTGGCGACTATCTGGCTGGAAGACCTCCAAGGTATACTAGTGCCGTGATGCTGAGGCAGGGAATGACAAGCCGCCTTTGAATGTCTCTTGTTTTAAAAACCCTATCGGGTTGCCATAAATCAGCTGTGACTTGATGGTACTTTCCATCACCAATCCATCTGGTACTTGTGGTGTATTGCTTTGTTTTCCCCAACAACAAAATGTACTGTTTGAGTGCTAAGAAAACAAGATACCCCTACACCAGAAGTATTTCCTTGAAGAGAAGGTGCCTGTACAATAAATAGGGAGAAAACACTGCAGTTATTGTATTAATAAAGATTCGGATTCAATATCTACCTTCTGCTAAGCAAACAGGGGTCAGAGAAAGTCTTCCTGTAGTAGAGGAAGACTCCTTACCTAGTAGAAGGGAGGCATGGGGTGCAACCCGTAAATCTAGAAAGGCCTAAGTTTTGTTCTCTACATTAGAGGTAGCTATATGGTTGCTGTCTACCTTTTCTCCAAGTTCAAAATGTGTTGATGTCTCCATCTTGCTGCTTTTTTGAGTCGCTCCAAGCTTGCTGTTGCCACTCTGTTCACTTGCTAAACTACCCTGGGCTTGTTCTTTTATGCTGGGTTGGAAGAAAACAGAGATCATGATGATGGTTAAAATTGAAACACAGAGCAACAATAAATCACCGCCAGAAACCAAATGGAAAAATATGAAATTTCCCAAAATCTAAAGAAATGCATCTCAGATGTCAAATGTTTGCCATAACTCAGTGTAGGTTGTATGGATGGGGTCCAACAATCTTTTCTGCCAGTAAAGAGAGAGAGAGGAAAGGAGCCCTTTGATCACCCAAAAAGGCTACAGTGGGGGATTATTGGACCAGTGTGGGCAAAACCCATGCACAGCAGTGGCTATAATAAGGTAAAGAGCAGGGCGAGATGGAGCAGGCTGAATCCAATTCAATGGGGGGGGGTTAGAATGCATTTTTTTATTATTACTGAATAAGATTACGCTTATGGACATTGTATTCTTTTTTCACAACTGCATGTCTGATTTTGTTCTTGTCTGTCTTGTCCTATATAGTTGCTGCTTCACCGTGTGATGCTTCTTAATATTAATTAGTATTTCTGAAAGAGATCCCATCCTCTGGCCTGCCATACCTATTGCTATCCCATTACACTGCATTTTTTTCATGGCTGGTTAAGGAAATGTCTGCTTGTTTAGAGTACCCCCTTGCTTCAGACCATTTCCACAACTCCTGAAGCATTTTCGAAATGTTTCATTTGGCAATATTACAAGTAACCAACACATTACACTTGGGAAAGCACAGGGCTACATATCATAGGGAGCATAGGGGTGTGCGGGTCTACCCAAACTGAATATATACCTGAAAAACACCTTACTGGTATTTTTTGGGTATATTTCAGCATCCCAAATGTATCTGGGATTTTTCAGGAGAACTGGAAAAAATCCCTAAAAATACCCGGATATATTCTGCCATTACTTGCAAATCCAAGCAACAGTTATGAGGTTGGAGCAGATTGCTCCCACTGCTCAACTGTTTTTGTGCTGTTTTCTGCAGTCCCTTTAAACAGGGAGTGTTTAAAGGGACTGCAGAAGACAGCCCACAAAACAGCCGGGGGGGCACTCTCCCCGCCAGCTCAGCTGGGGCTCTTTTGGGCTGTTTGACTAAACTGCCGAAGACAAGCCCAGTGGAGCTTCTCCCAGCAGGATCAGCTGCTTTGCAAGCTCTTTTGGACAGTCTGGTTCAAAGGGACTGCCCAGAAGAGCCCCCAGCTGAGCCACTGGTTTTTGTGGCTTTGCCACCATTTTTTTTCTCTGTATCTTTCAGTCTGGGTCTATTAGACTTGAAAATATTGGGATATCCAAAAAAATCCTAGATCCAAATAGTTTACCAGTATTGAGATCCAGTTTTTTTCGGGAATCCCAAAATTTTTTGGGGGGTCCAAAAGACTAGAACCAAAAACTACCAAGGGAAAAAAAATGCACACCCATAAGAGAGCAGCAGCAGATTAGAATGAGACTGGGGGTGTTCTGTGCATCTCATCTCATCCAAGAAGTTTTACATAATTTAGGGTTGGATCTTCTGCAGCACTAGTGAAAGATAGTGTTTCTGCCTTCCTTTCCCTATTTGCTGCCTGGAGACACCAAAAAGGCAATGCTGTGGGTTGGGACAGCCACATGGCCCAAAAGCCATGCCAAATGGACAGGAAGACTGATGAAGAAGGATTTCTACTGCCTACAGAAAGGTTTATTGCACCAGCAGAAAGAAAGCGTATGTAGGGTTGCCAGCTCTGGGTTGGGAAATACCTGGAAATTTTGGGGGTGAAGCCTGGGTAGGGTGGGGTGGGGAACCTCAGCAGGGTATAATGCCATAGAGTCCACCTTCCAAAGCAACCATTTTCTCCAAGGGAACTGATCTTGATCAATTGGAAATCAATTGTAATAGCAGGAGATCTCCAGATACCACCTGGAGGTTGGCAATCCTACCTGTGAGCCAGTGCTTAGTATATGGTGTTACACTCTAAAAATATAAATACGAACCAGTGACGAAAGACTATAATTATTATTTGTGAGGCCCTGATCTGGATGTCCCAGGCTAGCCGAATCTCGTCAGATCTTGGAAGCTAATCAGGGCTCAGCCCTGGCTACTATTTGGATGGGAGACCACCCCCCCCCCAAGGGATAACAGAGTTGTGATGTGGAGGCAGCCAATGGCAAACCACCTCTGAACATCTCTTGCTTTGAAAACCCTGCAGGGTCAGCATAAGTCTGTGACTTGACAGCAGTTTCTACCACCACCATTTATATGAGGCAGCACAGAACAGTGCAATCAGAAGGAGAAACAACCCTTTTAGTAGCGGCTTAGTTTCTTCCTACTAACTGGACAAGAAGAGCAAAAAAAGCTTGGGCTTTGGGGAAAAAAATCTTCTGTCGCTAAGGTTCCTTCTTTGGAATTAAATGTGCAGGATTTATAGGCGTGAGTCTTTTGTTGTTTGTGGGAAAACTTAATCAATGGACAATTTGTTTCTGTGGCAATGTTTTATGAACACTGTTTCTGTTGAAAATCAAATTGAACAGGGGGGGTGCAGTGCAGAAAGGAGGTGAAGTTTACAGGTACCCCACAAATTCTCAGTAAAGTTTTATTTGTTCATACCTTTCCACCAGCTCTGATGTACGATGTCCCTGCTGCTGCTTGCATTCCTGATCCTTCAATGTGGATTGAGCATCTGTCATAAGGCTCGGATGAGATGATCTGTGTGTCCTCTGTGGTAACATTTGGGTGCTATCTGCCTTTGAATGGCTCGATTCCTAAGATGTGGGGGGGGGAGAGTGTGTGTAGATCTGTCTGTCTGCTAGGACAAATATCTCTACACTGGGCCCTTGATATTCAAGGAAGTTTATTTATTATTTAGTTATCAAACTTATACCCCACCCTCCCAGCCATGGCCGACACAGCCAATGAATTTTGAAGTTCAAAAGGGGGGGGGGGGGGGGGGGACACAGATTGTTTTCTAGAAAAAGGAATGAATATAGCATCCACCCCAGCAGCACAAAGATAAGCTAGGTACAGAGATCAGCAGTAATGCTTTGAAAGGAGAAGCAGGGTCTACAAGCTGTACGTAGTAGAAAAGAGAGAGAGTTCAGTAGGATATGAGCTCACTTCTTCAAATACAGCTAGAATGTGAGTCCATCTGTCCTTTTAAACATGGAGAGTGGAGTGATTTCAGATGCTGAATGACAATAGCAGGCAAATGACAATAGCAGGCGTGATTAGATAGGTGTGATATGTAGAGGAGACGTAGGTGTGGAGAAATCAGCACTGGTAATGAGCAGTCTGTGTTATGGAGAGGGAGTAGTCAGTTCAGATTCTTGGACTTCTCATAATTCCAAATCAGAAACGGAGGCTTGAAGTACTGCTTAGACCAGGGTATGATATATCCAGTCTCAGCACTTTTGTCATAATGGCTTCTTGAATTAAAAAATAAATTGGGAACAGGTATCTTTTTTTTAAAAAGGTTAAAAAACAGGTCAGAAGATCCTATCATCCACATAACTAGTAGTTTGATTCTTACTAATCATGTGCCCCCTCTCAGACCAAAAGGGGAAGAAGAAATGTCTGTGTTCCATTTGTAATTGCCGCACTCACCAGATCTTCTGTCAAAGCTCTGCATTCCTCAGGAGCAACTGCATGTGTCACAAAAGATGGCAGTGTCCCATACAAGGGGCTAGGCAGACCATCTTCCTCACCAAACTCCTGCTGATGAACACAGCAAGGACCTATCAACTCAGAGCTCAATAAATATTTTATGTGGTTTTAGTATCTTCCCTCAAGGTAGTGTTTCTAGCCCTGACCTGGATAGCCCAGGCAAGCCCAACCTCATCAGATCTCAGAAGCTAAGCAGGGTCAACTCTGGCAAGTACGAGGATGGGAGACCTCCTTGAAATACCTGAGGCGGGAGGCGGGGGCAGGCTTTATTCAGCCACCTCTCTGAATATCCTCTAGGCCCCCAGTAGGGATGAGTCACCAGAGGTCGCCATGACTTCCAGGTGCACAGACACTCAGTCACCAGAGGTCTCTATGACTTCCATGTGCACGCATACACACATACTTAAAAAATACAAAAAACAAAAAAGGTAATGTTTCTATTGCAGAGACAGCACTGTTTCCCAGGACCAAAACTGCAATGCTTCATCACCAAGAATATGCTGTTCCTCTTCCAGCTAGTGTATCCATGCTGTTGCAAGTGCTGACTGTGGAAATATCAAGGGCAAATACTGGCTCGTATTTGTGACATCGCTAGCAATAACTAACAACTTCCTTCCTGTGTGTCATTCTATGAACTTCCTTTTTATCATTAAAAGTGATGGATCTGTACCATTGAACTGGGATGGTCATCTACTATTCACTTTAAAAATATTACCCCCATCTTCTTGTACTGTTTCCATTTCTGAAACACATACTAGATTTCCTCTGAAAGTTTCCTTACTAATTTGGGTAAAAACCCATATCCCCACTGTCCCGTTCCCCCCCCCATGGGAACTTCAAGCTCATTTAAGCCCATTTCTAAGGGAAAAGCTGGAAACAGCAGCTCCCCACAATGTTACCTCCAACCATTCCCGGGGAATGAGCTATTTGGTGCTAGGTTGGGGCTTATGGGAGAACAGCACCTTAAACTGCAGTCTTTCATCATCTAAGCAAGCCCATGTAGCCAGCACAAACCCAAAACAAAGGGCTACCTAAAGGAGTCTGGGCCTCATTCCTCTTCATGGCCAGAGTAATGTCATAACAATGCAAGAAGAAATATTAATGTGTGGCAACTTCTTACTTTCTGGGATTCTTCAATCTCCACAGAGAGCGGCTGTACTGGGGCCTGTACACAGCAGGTCTTCACATTTTCTAGGGAATTTCTCGGCAGCCTGCATCAAACAGATATCTTTCATAACATTTACAGTAAGGAAGGATGTTGGGTTCAAGAAAGCAGTTTATTTTGGTGTGACACCTACATACAGGAGAAGGGAGCATTCCAGATTTGGTATGCAGAATTTATTTAAAGCTACGGGATATTAGAAGATACTGGAGAGGGTGTAAAGAAAAATTGCTGCCCCAAATCAGAGTAAGACACCCCTCCCAAAAGTCACATTTTAGTCAAACAACACAGGGGGGGGGGTTCTTCCTCTAGAAACTGAGGAATGGGTAGTTGCAAAATTCTCATTGGCCTATTACGCAGGGGTGTTTTCCCTCTCTTTCACCATGCATGTCAGTCAGGTTTTCTTTTGTCATTCTGCATTGAATTTCCTCCCTTCAGCGCTCAGTTTGTTTTCTGGTCACTGTTTCCCTGAGTTTTCTGAGATTGCTGATTGTACAGATTCCCTCAGATCCCCCCCCACCATTTTGCCACTCCTCAAAGGTCACTCCCCGCCTACATCAAGGTTGTTCTCCCCACTCTGCACCTTCCACCATCCTCCCCCTTCACTGGTGTATCAGCTCCATTTTCTCCTCATTTTTAAATTTTAACTTTTTTTTACAAGCGGCATGAGGCTAGCAATATGAGACTATCACTAGTCTCACTAGACTATCACTAGTCTCAGATCGCTGAATAAAAAAAATTAAAACTACAGGGGGAAAGTTTAAAAGGAGCTATGCAAGGTTTAGTTCCCTGCTGGTATTGACTTGAAAGGGGGATTGGAGAGGAGGCAAATAGCAACATCCCCAGTGCAAAAAAAAAGATTTCAGTGCTGCATGCAAACAAAATAAAGGGAGGGATTGTCAGCACGGAATGAAATTGACATGAGATGTAAAGAGAGAGAGACTGGGATGGGAAGCATTTTTTCCTTTAATGCTTTAGTGAACAAACCTTGGGGGGAGAACCATTTTGGCAGTCCCTGGAAGCCTAACATTAAAATGGTGGCCGAGCCACATGGACCTTCTGCAAACTGCCAAACTTAAGAATCACTTGGGATTGATCCATTTGGAGGAAGAGTGTAATCTGCACAGGACAGGTTTTTTAAAAACTGCCAAGACCATGACCAGTGTGCAGGATCAAATTAGAGAATCACAAAGAGAAAACCACGTAAATTTGCAAGGAAGGACAGGAAATTAGGGCATCGATGAAAATATGCACACCCCAATTTTTTTTCAGTTTAGTGGCACAAGACTAAAAAAGCTCTCCAGAGCTTCTGCCAAAGGACTCCTCCCCCATACAAATTGCATCCCTGTGCAAAGCATGGTTGAGTTGCAGCCAACTTTGCACAAGTTGGTGTAGTGCTGTAGAGCCAGTTTGGTGTAGTGGTTAAGTGTGCAGACTCTAATCTGGGAGAACCGGGTTTTGACTCCCTCACTCCTCCACTTGCACCTGCTGATGTGACCTTGGGTCAGTCACAAGCTCTGGCACAGCTGTCCTTGAAAAAGAGCAGTTTGTGTCAGAGTTCTCTCAGCCCCACCCACCTCACAGGGTGTCTGTTGTGGGGAGGGGAAGGGAAAGGAGTTTGTAAGCCGCTCTGAGACTCCAAGTGAAGGGCGGGGTATGAATCCAATCTCTTCTTCTTCTTCTTCTTCTTCTACACACACACACACGTTGCCAGTGATCACAGCTTGCACTGGCAGTGTTAATGGGTTCCACGATGCATTCTGTACACTCAATATGTTCCCCCATATTATGAGATAGTGTGACGCTTTCCCAATTTTCAGTGGCTGATAACACAACAGAGAATTCCCCAGCGCTCCGCAATATGGAAAACTAGGCTTCGCAGCTGCTTGTCAGTTTCAGAAGTCTGGTCAGTTTCAACCTCATTTTTCCCAATTTGCCTGCATTCCCTTCTGTTCCCTTTCATTCAGTGAACTAATACTAAGTGAAATCTATCCGAATACTTAAAAACCTTTTCTGTATTTGTGAATTAGCTATCTAGAACTTATAATTATCCGGGAAAGATGTATGCAAAACTCTAGGAATATTAAATGAATAGGATATCTTATGTTTTTACCATCCAAAAACTATAAGAGCTTGGGTAAATGGTAAAGTATGCAGAGGAAAAATGTTGATTTGTAGTTTTAAAAATTTTAATGTAACACTTTTTAATGTTATATTTATATTGTATATATACATGTATACATTTGATATTTTTGGAATTTATTAAACATTTAAAAAATGAACTAACACTAAAATGCATGTGCAAAACCTGAACCGAGAGGATTTAAATGGAAGGTGCTTGCTGGACACTACTGAGCAGCTGCAATAGCGAAATTGCAAAAAAAAATTCATAAAACTTCACCCACCACACGTCACCCACCACACGTCACAAGTGACATTCTACCCTGAATTAGAAAAGTACCTTTTAAAAATAGTAGCTGCAGAATAAATACACCAGAGGGAAAAGAATGGTGCGTAAGGTGGGCACAGAATCCAAGGCCAAGATTAAAGGCTTACAGCTCTGAAAATCTGCAGTAAGATGTGTGTGCGTGTCATGACAAAGGGGAAGGGCAGAGGAAGACCACAACTATTTGTGTATCTGTCCGTTACTGTTCAGATAAGAAGGTACATATGTTTAAATTAGATCGGCCTCAATGTTTAAACATCCAGCAAACATTTGAAGAAAAAATAATTTCAGATTCTCAGTGCCACAAAAAACTGGGTCATATATCATGATATGCATGCATAAGAAAGTAAATGATGATGGAGAGATCCCCAAGAGGACAAAACTGCTGTCTCTGGAGATAGCCAATTGGGCCTCATATGTCCTGTCACCTGAATCTTCCCAAGTGGGACTACCTGGTACTAAAGAAAGAGTTTTCACCTATTCCAGCACCCTGCTCAGCTGTTTTCTGGATTTATTGTTCTTGGCAAATCACAAGATTTATTATTTATTTATTAAATCAGATTTATTAGGCCGCCCTCTTCTGCAAGGAGGGCTCACAGGATAGACAGCCTCGTGTTCTAAAGAGAGCAAGCAGCTGATAACTGCCTCTTTTATGGACAAATTAATTATCTCACTCAAATTAATTATGTCACTCAAGATCTTATGCATTTACAGGCCATTATTTTTTTAATTCACAATTGAACATTTCATTATTGAAAAAAAGAATCCACTTTCGTTAAGTACCATTACAGAGCAATCCTATACAAACCTCCCTCAATCTAATCCTACTGGGCCTAGACTAGCATAAAATTTAGCATAGATTTGAACTGTAAATTAATTGAAATCTGTATCCTGAATCATCCCTAAAGTTTAGGATGGGTCTCCACAGCTTAATATTAACCTGTCCAGATGCAATCCCATACCCTGAAAAGTTTAAGGCCAGCTACCAAAAACCACTCTTAATGAAAAGACCTTTTGAGCATAACTGTGTTATTTGTGTGTGTGTGTGCCTTCACAGAGATTAAAGGGTCAAACTAGTCATAAGCAGGTTATATTTACAACTGTTTTTAGAAATACAGAGTGTAGATAGTTAAAAACTTAGATATTTGCATATTTCGTCTGAGGATATATTTTATACATTCAAAATTATGTCCCTGTTAGGGACATGATGGTGATTTTATGGAAAATCTTGACAAAATCATAGAGCCATAACTGGCTGGTCACCATACCTTGTACTAGAGATAAATGGGCATATTTTGCCCATCCTAACCAGGAACAAAAAAGCTCCATCTTAAACAATAGTTATTTAACAATTCTTACCCTTCTCCATTTCCACAGGAATGGCACAGCTGCTCTTGAAGCCTGTGGACTTCCAGTTTCAATTCCTGTACAAATGTCACAAAGAAAACCGGGTACACCTGTTCAACAGCTACTATGGCCACACAGACAGAATGAAGAGAAATAAAACAGATCAGGTGTATGTGCTTGCCTACAAAAATGTAGGAAGATTAGTTTTCTATTAGTGCCATGTTCGATTCTTTGAGAATCCTAGTGTTTCATGTCTGGAAAGAATATGATTTTTGCTTCTGCATACCTATTGCTGCCCTAGCTAGGAGTTCACAAACTCTCTCCCTTGGATTGGACTCTTAAAAGATCTGCTGTTGACTGAAAATAGGTATTTGGAGTCTGCATCCCTGGAACCTATCATTCATCACTACCCACCCCTAAGTTGGTGGCAGCCAGTGGTCTATTGTGCCAATTCTGACAGGATATTACGGCCGTATAATGTGATGGGGGATAGTTGAGGGTTCATGTATATTTCTGCATCCCAAACTAAATTACATGCATGTTATATAATATATAAATGCAGAAACAATGTAGAAAAACAGGTGCAAGGTGAAAAAATATGTATTCGCACATTTCGCAATTCGCTTTGTCAGGGGATCGTTTCCAAAGTTATTCACTTCCACCACAAAATCCACAAGAAATAAAGACTTTTTTTTCACCTTGCACCTGTTTTTCTACATTTTTTCTGCCCACTGGTGCGGCCATTCTTGTTTACTTCGCTGTATAATATATAAGCCACTCTGGGTAGGCTCCTACTAGTTCCCAAATAAGACCTCTGTTACCTGTACCATCATTTGGTATTCATCTAGGGTCTCTGTCAGCTCTTCAGTTCGTCTCTCTTTCTGGGAAAGTCAAAAATAATCATAACACAGTCAGTAGAGGATTATGACAACCTCGTGTTAGAGCAAACTATGATCTTACCATTTTTTAAAAAAAGGCTTCCCCCCCAACAGCGTTAAGCCTAGCAATGATGTTGCAGTGACACCTAGTGATTCAAGAAGGCAGGAGCACCGTTAACTCTTGTAAAGAAAGACCACATAACTCACTTCAGCACCAGCAAACCCCTTCACACTGCCACTTTCTGCACGCAATCATGCAGGCAGTCTTGTTTCCAGATGGAAACAGAAGTAACTGGAAGCATGAGAAAATAAGTTCTCGCCACCGCAGAGGTGGACAAGACAAAAGTCTGATGCCCTACATTTGCTGCTGAAACTACCGCTCAGTAAATGGTTGACCAAATTCAACAGCATGCAAAATGCTGAGGCTTGGATCCATGCGCACAAGACTGCCTCAGCCATGAAACTCATTTCCATTTGTAGATCAACGGTTTTCTTTGTTTGTTTGTTTTTGGGGTATTTGTGCGTGTGTGTGCTTGCATGCCTGGAAGTCATGCCAACTTCTGGCAACCCCTAGTGGGGTTTGGACATTTTCAGAGAGGTGGCTTGATAGCCTGCCTCTGCATCCCAAGCCCTGGTATTCCTTGGAGGTCTGCCTTCCAAGTACTTGCCATGGTCAGCCCTGCTTAGCTTCTGCGATCTGACGAGATCGGGCTTGCCTGGGCTATCCAGGTCAGGGCTGGCCAATGGTTTTCAATGAGGCCTTCCACTTTTGGAAGTGCTAGGAGAAGAGGAAGCAAGTTCTGTGGCAGCAGAGGCTGTCTAGCATGCATGGAACTTGTTCACGAGATCCAAGTGTAAGTTTTTATTAAACCAAAAAAGCAGCAAGCTTTCACACTGAACAGAATTTTTCTCTGCAACATGCCTCCTTGCAGATGGTAGCTGGAGCTGCTACTACCCTTCCCACCCCCAACATCACTCAACCCCAGAGAACAGTGCTCTCGATTCCATCAGGTTTTCCTGCAGCACCATTTCACACAGAGCTGTACTCTTCAAAGCCCACTGAAGTCAACAGAGTTAACCCTTTCAGTTTGGTATTTTTAATTAGATGCAGCTCACCTTGTTAAGGTCCGTTTCTTTGCAAGAGATAAGGTTTTCGCACTCACAGAGCTGAGACTGCAAGACAGAAACAATAGTTCAAATTGTCTTGCTTTCTTACAAAAACAAGTTATAAACTATAAGAACAGAAGTTATCAGCCAAACTAATGGAGCACCAACATTTTAACAATGCAGTATATGCTCCTCAGGTCATTAGTACCTTCATTTGGGCCTTCTCTGTACACAGCTGTTTGATTTTATTCTTACAGCTTTCTTTTTCCAGGAGAAACTTCCTGTTCTGTAAGAAAAACATACCAGAATTTTAACATGACTATCTGCTCTTGTGCTGATGTGGTAAACGATATCAATTATGTTTCAGTTGATCTTTTTTCCCAGCTGAATGTGGAAACTGAGAACATCAAATATCCACTTTGATGGGTTTCCATCCTATGTATACTCAAGAGAAACAGACACATACATTCATCACATGTAATTTCATACCATAGGTCACATGTAGACTATTCCTCATCATTACACTCTACATTTGGTGGCCAGATGCTAGAACTACAAAAGCAATAGGGTCCTTCTCTAAGCCCTATCCCCCCCCCCTTTTTACATTTGTTTGGATCCTGCTCTTGAAATACCAGCATAGAAAGAGGGGTCCTTTTTGCCCCTGCTTACCTCTTCCTGCAGGTTATCTATGTGAATCAAGAGGCACTGCTGTTCTTTTTCCTGAAGTTTGAGAGGAAAATGTCTTAGATTGACAGTTTAAAAAAAAAAAAAAGACCATAGAATTCTGACATCACATTTTACAGCCAGAGGCTGATTCCTGGAGTGGGTCTGCATACATATGGAAACTTGTGGAAAATGGGTCATCCCCCTTAGACTGCTTGTCCCATGAACAGCAATTACCACAAATCCAGATATAGCGAACAGGAAGCCACATGGATAATATATTTACATAACATGTTTTCAGATGTGTGCAGCTACATGAAACACTACAGGAGCCGGCCCACAGTTTCACAGGAACTATGAAAAAAACCTACACCTTCCAATCCTCCCAAAAGTTATGATTTCAATAACTTACTGTAAATTAAGACAAATGTGCCTACACTTTACAAAAGAGGAATGTTTATGAATCAACTCCGTAAGTGCATATTCAGAAGCACTCACCAGCTGCCGGCCTTGTGTGTGAAGTTTGCTATTCTCCTCTTCCAAACTTTTGGAAAAAAACTTCAGGTCTTCTAATTCGTTTGCCAGTGCTCTAGCTTGTTCTGTGGCTTGTTGGGTGCTGTAATACAGGGCAGTAGATGTTTACTTAAAAAGCTCTGAATTTCAAACTTCGCTGTATTTCAGCTATGCAAGGAAGAGCCAAAGGTACTGACAAGTAAAGGTGCTGGGGATCAAACAAAGAGTGTCAATATTAGGCGATAAGGAATATAGTCCAAGCTGGAAAATATAACAGGTTACCTCCAAAATTTCCATTCTGCTACTAATGGGGTCTTCACCCAGCATAAGGAGCCTTCCTCTGGTAAGGGAAGCATGTTACAATGGAGGAAGGCTCCACCATTCATGGACCAGAAACTCTGGATTCAGCCCATAGATTAGAAGGCATTGTACTGGGCAGGGAGGAAACAGCTGAAACAAGGGGAATACAGAGAGTACGCAAGAACCACTTATTGGATTACAGGGGCATTTGTAAACGTCCTTCAACATAGCTCTCAATACTGCATAGCCTCATACAGCTAAGAATCTTACTGTCTTTCTCATAGCCATCTTCCTTTTTATTGAGCCCTCTGGCCTGGGAGTGCCTGCCAACCGCCAGGTGGTGGCTGGAGATCTCTTGGGACTGCAACTGATCTCCAGTCAACAAAGATCAGGTCACCTGGAGAAAATGGCTGCTTTGGAAGATTAACTCTGTCACTGTACCCCATTGAGGTCCCTCCCCTTCCCAAACCCCACCCTCCTCAGGCTTCACCCCCAAAATCTCCAGGCATTTCCCAACCCAGAGCTGGCAAGCCTATAGGAAGTGATGTCATCACGTCAGTGACGTTGCACAGTGATGCTCTCTTTTGGGGGCAAACTCTATGATTTTGAAGCCAAAAAACCATAGAATGTTTGCCCCAAATGCATGCAATGTCGCCGTGATGACATCACTTCTGGGTGACATCATCACATTAGGGACATCACACGCAACGTCCTGCCCACCCCCGGAACGCCCCCCAAATCCCCCTGCCCCAGTGGTGGGGGACCTGGCAACCTTACGACCCTACCCTCTACCTCGGATTAGCCCTAATTATCATTTGGTCTTAACGCACCCTCTCAGCTTTCCTTTCAGCTCAGCAATCTCCTCAGAAAGTCGCAAATTGAGCTCTTCTGCAGTCTCAATTGTCCTTTGCAACTTGATGTTCTGCATGGCTAGCTGCTTGTTCCCCTGCTGCAAATCTTTGATGCTGTTCATCAGATCTGCAGCCTCTTCTCTTTTGTTAGGGGAAAAAATAAGGAAAAGGGTAGTAAGTCAGAGATGCACAATATTCTATGGTCATGCTAATTAGAATGCCACAGCCACCAATGCCACCATTATTATTTGCCAGCTTCCCTTTGACCAACACTGGTACATGTTAACTTGAATATTGTTTTGCCCATAGGGTTGCCAGCTCTGGGTTGGGAAATACCTGAAGGTTTTGGGGGTGGAGCTTAGGGAGGCGGTGTTTGGGGAGGGGAGGGACCTCAGCAGGGTACAATGCCACAGAGTCCACCTTCCAAAACAGCCATTTTTTCCGGGGGAACTGATCTCGATTGTCGGGGGATCAATTGTAATACTGGGAGATATCCAAGCCCCACCTGGAGGTTGGCAACCCTTTTCTACAGACACTACAGATAGTTAGGCCTTGCTGACAGAGTCAAGTCAACACAGGTTTTCTCGAAAGCAGAAAATAAATATATTGCTTTTAGAAAGTGAGGCCCTGATCTGATACAACACCTCTCAGCCTGGACGGCTATTTCACTTTTAAAAACACTAGAAAGATCTATTCACAGATTCCCCTAGTACTATATCTGTTTTGGCCCTAAAAGGCTAGTGCTTACAAACTTTCACTGGCCAGTCCCTGCAAATCCTTCTAACTCATCAGGACTTCCTGTCCAAAAAAGTGAAACACTGAAAGCACATGTGCCACTTTCTGCCTCTCTACTGCTGCTGTTGTGCACATGTGAAAAACAGAAAGGGCCCTCACCTGGATAGCCCAGGCAAACCTGATCTCGTCAGATCTTGGAAGCTAAGCAGGGCCAACCCTGGCAAGTATTTGGAAGGGTGACCTCCAAGGAATACCAGGGCCAGGATGCAGACTCAAGCAATAGCAAAGCCACCTTTCTGAAATGTCCAAGCCCCACTAGAGGTCGCTAGAAGTCAACCATGATTTCCAGACACACACACACACACAAAATACTCACCAAAATAATGAAAAACAGGCAGTTTTAAGTACACTTATATCAGGATCTGATCGTATTGACTGATGGCCACACAGGAGGCCTAATTTAAGATCGCATTCTAACCTTCCTGCTGTTTTCCGTGCGCATGTATTTCAGCCAAAGACTTTCAGCTGCTTTGCAAGGATGCCAAACCGTGTTGTTTATTTTATTTTATTTACTAATCAGCACACACATGTATTTCTTGGGAAGGAGAATGCTATCAATTTGGCAGTTCTCTATATGGCCTTTTTCCAAAAATAACCAGAAATAGATTGCATTTTAAGCAGCACATTTCCTCACAAGAGAGGAAGCCATCTGTGCAAAGACAGTGCTGTGTACCAAAAGAGGCTGCATTACTGACCACACTATATTTAGAAAGCTAAGGACAGTGTCCTCTCTTTCTTCATTTGTTCCTTTTCTTTTTTCAGCACAAGCACTCACCAGATGGCAACATGCAGATATGGCCTATAAACTTCTTGGGTACCGTCTAATCTCCTAGATAAGACAAAGATTAACAGCCATCTCTCCTGCCTTATTATCAGCCTGAGAAAGTAAATCAACATTGGATTGTTGGAAGTGGAAGACTTTTTACGCTGTCTCTTTGCCTCAGAGAGCCAGTTTGGTGTAGTGGTTAAGTGCGCGGACTCTAATCTGGGAGAACCGGGTTTGATTCCCCACTCCTCCACTTGCACCTGCTGATGTGACCTTGGGTCAGTCACAAGCTCTGGCACAGCTGTCCTTGAAAAAGAGCAGTTTGTGTCAGAGCTCTCTCAGCCCCACCCACCTTACAGGGTGTCTGTTGTGGGGAGGGGGAGGGAAACGAGTTTGTAAGCTGCTCTGAGACTCCAAGTGAAGGGCAGGGTATAAATCCAGTCTCTTCTCTTCTTCTTCTTCTTCAGACTATGGATGAAGACTACAAAAGAGTCAGAAAGACAGGCCCGTAGCTATGGCAGGGCTTTTGGGGGCTCTGCCCCCTTTCTTAAAGGCACAGCCCCACAAGAATTTCTCCTGTAAATGCTTTTTTTCAATCATTTAAAAACATTTTTAAAGGTGTACACTCCTTTAAGCAGAGTGGGGTGCTGTAGTTGACTAATTCCCGCACTGAGCAAGGGGTTGGAGTAGGTGACCTCTAGGATACCTTCTAACTCTATGTCAAGTAACTGGTCTCCTTTAAGAGTTTTTCTGCCTGTGTTTGCTTTCTTGACTACAGAAATCATCACCCCCCACCTTCTGGCTTGTTATCAGAATTGTTGCTTAGGCAGCAGCTGAGAACTGCCATCTAAAGTGGTTGACAGCTTGCAGTTTAGAAATCTATCCTAGTAACAGCTTTCTAATGGCTAAATGGCTTTTCTTTCTGCACTGACAACTTTAGCCCCACCAGAAAAAATTTTGCCCCACAAGCCACAGAATCCTGGCTACGGGCCTGCAGAAAGACAGTGAGGCCAGGCCTGACCACCCTTCCTTTCTACTGCTCTGATGCTATCCCTTTGATGTCTAGATTGCTACTCCTAGGGAAAGTTTCCTTCCCTCTGGCTTCTCCCCCCCACTCTCTCCACACACTTTGCCTGAATCCAACTTGGCAACAGGAGAGCAGGATGCTTTCCTGTGTCCCAATCCATCTAGTTAGTTAGACCAGTTTAGAGAATCTATGGCTCCGCTTTCCTATCTAGAATGGAGTTCCTTAAATAAAAAGGACTCTTATTAGTTTGCAAATATAAAGAGGCTCCATGTTTCTTGCTTGCACACACACACTAAAGAGGCTCCATGTAACTTTTGTTTCTTGCTTGCACACACACACTGTGTGACCAGATGGCTCTGCTGCATTAAAAGCCTAGAGCACTCTGCTAACTATATATACTAACATGGATGATCTTTCCTTGTTTGTCATATGCTTTCTAATATGTGTTTCTTCTGCTTTGTGCTGGTGGAAAACATTTACTTACCACTGATGCACGGGAAGACATCTGCCTAACCTTTATGATATTGGAAAGTACAAAGAAACTCAAGAATAACAAACTGTAGGGATAGAGTATTGCATGTTTTCATCTTTTCTTTGTACACTTCCTCAGCCTGATGCTTGAACAGACCATGTGTATTCTTTTTATTCATTTATTAAATGTGTTTATATTATGAATTCTCTTAAGTCTGATCTCTGTAAACACACCACGCCTATCCAGTCTTGTTATCAGAAATGCAGTAACAGGGAAGGGCACAGAGAGTGAGCTTGCCATCCCTGAGGTTGCAATAGCTCAAAATTGCAAAAGTGCAATTGATTATTGACTGTCCCCCCCATGTTAGTTTGTAGGAGCAAAGAGGGAAATGAGGCAACTAGGTGGAGCCTCTAAATGGCGACACAAGTGTAGACTGCTGGATGTCTAAATCTCTCTACTGGGAGATACTCTTTGATTCACTGGTAGCAGTGGTTACGACCCAGATTTTCTTGGTACCTTCCTGGCCATGGGGGAAAAGGGCAGGGGAGCTGAGTGGAGACTGGGAATGGCTGCTGAGTTTTTCATTCTTCTGGGAACCCAAAGAAAATAGGACTTGCGAGCCCGTTCCTTCACAGCCAACTTTACATTTCCCATGTAAAAACCTTTATATATATTAACAGTATGCCCTAAGACTCAAGAAAAGCAGGATCTAGTTATATGCATGCAGGCTGTCCGTGATCCCCATTTGTACGCCTCCAATACATTGTGTCCTCCTAAGAGGAAATTCACCATGCCTAACCCCTCATCTCATAATACCAATTCATACCTTTCCCATGAATTTAACATGTATGCCAAAACAATTCATTTAACATGGATGTCAAAACAGTTCATAAGGAAATGCATATGACTTCTGCAATTACAAACCCATCTTTTCGGCAATCTGCTATCCAGTCCTTCATGACTTGATGGAAGGTAGGAAAGTCAACCGCAATGCCTCTCTCTTCTGGATCCAGTCTTGCATAGAGAGACTGAAACCTCCAGTCTTCACAGCTCTGCCCTGTCATTTCCTGTAAGTATTCGATGATTCGGAAAACAGACACCTCTCCTATAACCAAGGACAGAGAGTTATTTAAAACAACAGAAGAAGAGGAGGAGAAGGAGGAGATTGGATTTATACTCTGCCTTACAATACCCGAAGGAGTCTCAGAGCGGCTTATAATTCCTTTCCCTTCTCCTCCCCACAACAGACACCCTGTGAAGTAGGTGGGGCTGAGAGAGTTCTTTCTAGAACTGTCCTTGAGAGAACAGCTCTGAAAGAACTTATGACTGACCCAAGGTCACAACAGCAGCTGTACGTGGAGGAGTGGAGAATCAAACCCGGTTCTTCCAGATTAGAGTCTGTGCTCCTAACCACTACACCAAAACTGGATCTTTTGCTCTCTCTTTCTCTCACCCCTCATTTATATTATACAGTATTCTGCTTCTCCTGTCTAGGAAAAAATGAAGATTAAATAGTCTGTCCCGAACTGTTAAAGACAATTCATGAATCATCTTTTCTGTGCACCTGCACAAGAACCCCATGGTAGCAGCTCTGAAGGGATTAGATTGTTCTCCAACCTCTTAATGAAACAATGAAATTTTTCATTTATATTTGCTTTTTAAAATGAATTTCTGGTCCGTATAATTAAAGGGGGGGGGGGAAGAATGTGAAAAATGGCTGCTAGTCCAAGAGAAGAAGAAGAAGAGATTGGATTTATACCCAGCCCTTCACTTCCAGAAGGTGTCTCAGAGCGGCTTACAAACTCTTTTTCCTTCCCCTCCCCACAACAGACACCCTGGGAGGTAGGTGGGGCTGAGAGAGCTCTTAACAGAAACTGCTCTTTTTCAAGAACAGCTCTTATCAGAACTACGGCTTGCCCAAGGTCATCCAGCCAGGTGCAAGGGGAGGAGTGGGGAATCAAACCCGGTTCTCACACTGTAAAGCAGCAGGAAAGCTACAGTGAATGGGAGAGATAATTAAGAAGTCATTACTTTTCTTATTCATCTTCAGTATCAGGATTTT